CCCCAAAACCCCAAAACCCCAAAACCCCAGTATTCTGACTCCCTGTTGAAATTTAAATACCATTTGAAACAAAGATAAAAATTATAACTGGGGATCTCTCGGGACTGGACTCTCCCTAAGTTGGCTTAAGTTGATGAGCCCTAGGTTGCTAAGCATCCGAATATCTTCAAGTTCTCTCCGAGATTTCTTGAACCTGTTCATCTGGATCATGGAGCCAATATGGACTTTTTCATTAATGCCTAAAAATTATTATTAAATTACCTTTGGCAGGACTTCGAGGACTTTTGTTATCTCCTAAGGATTACTTTACACTCACCTTTGTGTACTAAATAGTTATTATAACGGGCAATTTGATCAAAAGATACACTCTGATGGTCAGCTTCTATCTCTTGCCGTTGGATGGAGTTCCGGATGCTAGCTATCTCTGAATGAATATCAATTCTGTTTTTGCTCTTTTTGTAACTATAAGTGTCAAAATAATGAATTGTATCTCCGTTTAAGTCCATAAAACCCAACGAAAGTATCCTCATAACAATTTTAAAGGCTTGATTGACCAAAGTATCATTTTAAAGTAAATATTCTAAAATAATTCTGTGATTAACGGTGAGCTAAGCATAAAGTTAGGGATAAAAACTGCTAAAGCTTCTGTAAGAACCTTTCGAAGTATTTTTACTAATTTTTCAGAGAACCTAGCAACTTTGAGCGAGGTTTTAAAATTCCAACTTTGATCATTTCCTAGGAGGATAGGATATCCTGAATTGTCTTTATAGAGAAATAGAAAAGTTAGTAGCTTGATTTCAAGTGCAAAATTGTGTTTTTCTATAATCTTACCTTCATATGAATTTTATGACGACCGCAATGATTCAAATAGCTCATAAGGCTCCAATCGTGATGAAGATGATAGCAACAGTGGACAATTTCTTGTCATCAGGTCTAAAATATTTTTAATAACTTGCCTTTTCAATGCTGTAACGATCATTCTTCCCCTGCCTAAGTACCGAATGTTGGGTATTATAAGGAACGTAAAAGGAATTCGATCAGCTTGCATGCTGAGAATGTTCTCATTGGTGTAGTTAAAAATAGCGGTGGTTTGATCATTATCGATCATTGCAAACCTGCCATCACTGATTTCATAGTACAACTCTATGGAACTGTTTCTTGTAACATCTACACATAAGGCTTAAATAGGTACTATTTGTCAAAAGTGATGCCGATGAACAAGTCTGAGTCGTAAGAGACTCTGTACCAGCATTCGTTTAGTGTGTGGGGCCTGTAGAAGGAAAACTTGTGAGAGTCATCGTATTTGTTAAAGTAGAACGCCTGACTACTACATTTAAACCTGTTTTCAGGAGCAAGGGAGCTTTCTGTAAGGGAGATAAGAAGAAGAAAAATTTGAGGAAATTTTTAAGAAATAATGTAAAGGGATCTGGAAATGGGGATTAAGAGAGATTTGGGGGTTTAGAAGGAAGATAAAGGATGATTGTTGCTGTCTAAAGGAGTTAGAGGAATTTGGAGGACATCGTTTTGGATTCGCATGATACATTTTAGAAAGCTTTGTTTTGAATTATTATGAATGAAGAATACTAATTTTTAAATTATATAAAATAAAGTGAACTAAATTTCCAAACATCACGTTACTTTTCCCTTTGAAATTCTAAATCTCTCTTAGCAACCATCCACTTGCCCTTCTCCCTTACCATCAATAAAATCATTTGCTTGCACTGTTCAAATCATTCAAACAAGGAGGCTGTAAGTCTTTATAAAATACCCTGCTCTAATTCATAAATTTTCACATCAAAATTGAGATTTCTTGATTGTTTCCTTTTGAAGTCATCATAGTTTTGAAATCACCTAAATTATGAGCTTTAGAACTTCTGAAAATTAATAAAAATTACCCAAAATGCTATATTTTGGAAATTTGAGTAATTTACTGAGATAAGAAAACTATCGAAAAGATGTATAACAAGAGAGATTTAAAGCGAGAAGTTCTAAGTAGAACTGAGTAGTTGTGGGCCTATCAACCACTAAAGGTATATTACATATACCACACCTCTCTTCTTGCTCCTTCTCACTCTATTACCATCTCCTTCATACCTAGTAGACCTCTCGAATTCGCTAAAATCTTCCAAACTTCATTAATTTCCAATATTTTCAAATTATCCAAAATGTGCAAAAACCCTTCTGCAAAACCCACACTACCTATCTATCCAAGAGGATTTGCTGAGCACCCTCTGAAGTTGGCTTGTCTACATCAGCTAGATTCTGGGGTTTTGAACTAAGAAAGTGTCCAAAAAGAAATTCTAGTAGAAAAGGGTCACAAAAGAGCACTTTAGAGCAGCCCAAGTATTTTCAAGTAAGACATGAGGACGTTACCTGCTGAGTAGACATTTTTATTATTATTTTAGAAGTTTAGAGGTGGGGTTTTGGGGTTTTGGGGTTTTGGGG